AGGAAATGCTTAAACAGGGCAGAACAACTGTGAAACACGGTGGAGACATTGTTATGGTTTGTGGTCTATTGCTTCCTCACTGACTCATCTGTTTTAACTCTAATTGATTATGTGAGGTTTGATAAATATCATCACATCTGTGATTTTTCCACATTTATGACACTTTTTTTAACGTCAATTGAAGAGATTTTCAGTCATCTGTGGCACAGTAGTCTTAAAGGTTTAGTAGGAAATAGTTGGACTTTTCTTATTTTCCTTGAAGAAGTGTTGCCTCTCATCTGAGAAGCTTCTTCAGTTCTGAAACCCTGGGTTGAGAGTAGGAGACTTATAAGGTGTGGTCTGATATAGGAGCTGCTGGCGAGGCCATCAAGGTCACCAGAGACCTTGGCCACTCCCTCGATTCAGCTTAGTGTTTGTGTCGTTGATGATGATGATCCCAACACGTCTCCAACAAAGACTACCTCCTGGAGAAGAAATCAAAGTTATAAAAAAGACAAACAGGGTGAAAAAAAACCCTCAAAAGAATTTGTTAAAACCATAACATGCAATTTTATTTATTGTAACCAGTTAATTTCATTTAAATGGACTCCTATGTTGGGCTCATCTAAAATCTGAGCCCGGGTGTAACCATCTTGCCTCTGGCTTTAAGTGCAGACACCACTCTAGGTTCTGGTCCCAGTTTTCTTCTGTTCACCCTTTTCACACTTGAGTGCCACCCCCATATTCCTTCAACACCATCATTAAATTTGCAGATGACACCACAGTGCTTAGGGTCCTCATCAACATCGATAAGTCTTGTAGAGGAGCGAGATGCCAAACATGGCAGTAAAGTGTGAAGAGCTGAACACGAAATTAAACATCCCCAAGACAGAAGAGATGATGGCAGACTTTCACACGGTACATCCACATTTCAGTAGAAGGCCAAATGCATGAATACAGGCTGAAGAACATAATTTTAGAACAAGGTGAAGCCAAGCTGTAGAGTAGCTTTGGAATTAATGACAATGATACAAAAACCTCCTAGATGTCTGTGATGATCTTAGCATGTGGTAAAACCGGCTCTTGTGAAGGTCGACCCAGCGGTAGGTAAACCTGGCTGAGCAGAAACCCCTCAGGTGATCAGCCGAGTGGCAAGCTGACATGAAGAGTCTCTGTGGACGTTTTCAGGCTGATGAAACAAACGCCTGAACTTGAGAACTGGATGGACACCGTCAGGCTCAGTTGAGCTTTTTCTATAACGTGACTGGACCCAGGCTCAATTACACATTAAAGGATAAATAATGGCATGCACATGCAGGAATTCAGAAGCAAGTGATTTTCTAAATGCATTCATCGTGTGAAAAGTAAGCATTTATGTAAAGAAATTTAAATTTTATAGTTTGGCTGGATTCACACTAAATGTAGATGAACCACTTCAGTTCAGTTGTGACCTGAAGGACCTGGTGTTGGCTGCAGCGCCAGCCTTCGCAACACGAGGGATCAGATGTGAACATTTGTTTATGCTTCTGCATCTGCGTTGGTGCGGAAATACGCACCGTCATTGTCCGTCGTTGCAAGGGCTCTCCAACAGGCTCACTGAGGACAGACGGAGTTGAGCCCATTTTTCTAAACATCTGTTGAATGAGATGGAGAACGCAAGCTTGTGATTGGTCAGGATGCCGCTTCCTTTAAATTAGTCAACAGCTCCGCCATTGCACCCTCAAAAAAGTAGAGAGGCGAAGATGTCTAGTGGTGAACACAGAGCAGCTTGTAGAATACCTAACTCTAAAAATATAAACATTTTATTCACCTGTGACTAGAAGAGTATAAAGACAGGAAGTGTTTAGAGGTGTCGAGCGCTTGAGGAGGTGGAGGAGAATGAGGGACAAATGTGTCCGGTCCCGTGTTACAAAGTCTCCGAAAACACAATATAAACACAACAGTAAATGCACTGACTTGGACCGGACACACAGCAGGATAGCCCAGAAAAGCGCTGTGCCCTCTGTTGTTCTGGAGAGCAATTGCTTTGAGACACTCTCCAGAAGACGGAGAAGTCTGAAAGCAAAACATCTCTGTCAACGTGTGTGTGTCTCACCCTCGTGGAGCTGACACAAAAGCATAAACTAGGCTTTACAATCTGCACATGACTGGATGTTTAGAGAAATCTGTGGCATTTCTAAAGAGCAAGTCACCCCCTCCCAGACTCTAACTCCATCCACACTTCCTGTTTGGAATATTGCGCCGAAAGGAGGCGTCGTCTGGTGGACCGAGAGGCTGGTGCTGCAGCACTGACTGACAGCAAATCTAAAGAACTTAGTTAGCTGTGATGAACCGGTGGAAAAGGCTTTACGGGCACTTTTTGATCCTGAATCATCTGTTCATGGACAGCCGGGAATCAGTAACTGAGACTTGGTTGATTTATCACTTGATATAAAGGTCAAAGGCCATGGCTTTATTGAGTGGTTAGGCAAATCAATGTTGAGAACTTTATAGACTCAACTCTAACCAAAGAACAGGTCTGACCCAAGTCTTCACATGACCACCAAGTGACCAAACAAAAGAGAACTTTTTACAAGTTAAAGCGTTGCATAAAAGTTACAGAGTAGGAGGAATAAAACATGACAGATGGAGAGAATTTGAAGTGAAACATCAGGCGGCACTGTTTGATACATCAAATGGCCAGTTTTAACAGAGGCAGCCAAGGCTTAGTCTGAATATCCAGATGTTTGATTTGTTAATTAAGTCTCTATGGTAGTTAATCACCATGTTTTTCTATCTGACAACAGCAGGTAAATCGAATAGGATGACCTTAAAATATAGAGATCTGATAATGAGAGACAGGCAGAAGTTGTTCTTTGACGACCAGTAAGTTGGTCAGTCAGCAAACTAACTGTGTGTGTGTGTGTGTGTGTGTGTGTGTGTGTGTGTGTGTGTGTGTGTGTGTGTGTGTGTGTGTGTGTGTGTGTGTGTGTGTGTGTGTGTGTGTGCGTGTGCGTGTGTTTGCAGCTGACAGAGTGCATTCTACTGGAATCTACAGCATGGGACGGTTTAAAGCTGAAGCTGTGTAAATCTAGTACTAGACTCCCTCTAGTGGAGTGCTGCAGCATTGCAGTGGAACCTGTACAGGTTATAGTGCTTGATGAAAGAGGAAAGATGACCAGACGTTATCTTTGTAATGAAAATCTTTCAAATCATGTCCCCCCTGAACACCTTAATTCATGATAGATCTGTTTGTGGTTGCGTCTGGGTGTCTCAGTCCGTCCTGGATTAAAATCTTTGTTCTGTCTATTTCTCGCATCATGCGTAGAAGCGAAATGCAACATTTTGCCTGTGTGTGCCGGATGAGGATGAACTCATCAGTATTTGTTCACCAAAACAGCTCTAGGAATGATCAGGCTGGTTCACTTAATCGATGTGCATGCATTTTCCTGACAGTCCAGATTAACAAGCAATAAGACTTTATTGGCAGTATGTACAAAGTACACACGCGTTTAAAGCATCAATTAAATTCACATATGGTTGGAGCGATTATCATTACAGATAACTGAAATTAGTCGGGAGAAGTTGATGTGAAAGGGAAGAGCGAGTCGCCTGCAAGAAAAGAAGGACTATAAGGAATGTGAGGGCCAGGGAGGGCTGGTAGCACCGACTACACAAGAAAACAACAGCTGTTTTGCTCATGGCTAAGAACAGGATGGAACAACATCATTTGCTGGAAAATGATCCCAGACAAAGAGGGTGCAATGCTCAAAAAAAGTGAAATGGGGATCTTTAGCTTGCATTTGATGGGAGAGCTCTTTTTTCTAGTAAAGATTTTTTTCCTTTAATATAATTATTTGAAATAAGTTACTAAAAAGAATAATCAAAAGCTGGAAATACAATTCACTCAATTACTATTTCCAGCCTTTAACATGCTTTTGTGCAGCCGGCGTATCAGTTTTCCTTTTGCTTCTGCAACAACAGCACAGATCTCCCAGGGAATGTGTGAGCACACCAGCGAATGCTGTGCCCTTGACTTGTACCCATACATCCAAGCATGCTGAATGGTTTAGTTAATTAAGCTTAATCTAACCCCAGAGATGCGAGCGCTGTGACGGAGGTCCACTGAGTTGTCCCCGTACGCTCCTCTCTGAGCCCCCCGTGGAGCCGTCAGGGACTCAACACCGCCACATCTGAGTACACTGACAGACCTCCGGAGAAACACAGAGCATAGGATAACGTTCAAATGTGTCCTCTGAGGAAAAAAAGCTGAAATTATAAAAGAAAAATTGTTAAGAAACATTTGACAGAAAAAAGAGGTGAGTATACAACTTTACCTTAACCATTTCATTGTAGTTGTAGTTGAGCTTTTATGTAAAACTTTGAAAACAGAAGTTCTGCATTGATTTGGTTTACTAAACAAAATAAAACCTCACAGCTGGAATCTGAAGCAGAAATCGAACCATAAAGCATGGAAAGATGTTTCTGCCTGTTGTTATTGTGCAGATTTCCCGTTAAGGATTGCAAACGTTCTAAAACATATTTTGTCAACATTTGCAAATACATTGAGATTCATTTCCCTTCCTTGAATAATGTAAGTGGCTGTATTTGATCACTTCTGTATGTTAAGACCTGATTTTAAGTCAAGAAATGTTTTGTAAAATTGTGGGGGGAAGAAAAAGATCAAAAGCTAAACGTTAATAAAATAAAAAGTGAGAAACACAACAACTATAGAATAGAATTTTTAAAGAACAAAAGGGGAATTTTGTAAAAGCACAGGATTTCAGTAAATTTCTTAAGTGTGTGTTCCCTTTTCTTATTAAACTGTTTTTTCTAAATTTCAAACTTTCAGTCATGTTCTGAGTCTTCCTCTGTTTAACTTCCCTAAGTTAAAGTTCTTGAAAGTTGTGCTTACGTAAATGACCTTCCAGTAAGTTTATGAGAATGTAAATAAAGCTCAGGAAGAGAAAATACATCCAAGCATTTAAGTTAGAAAATAAAGCAAGATTTAGATTTTTTATTAAGAAACTAAATACGCTTTATGAGTTTGTTTATTGCCTGAGACATTTTAAACTGTGAAATATGAAAAAAAAAACTCATGACATCATCTCTGACAGCTGAATCCTTTTTAGCAAACCACTGGTTTGTGAAAACTTCTAATCACATGTTAGTTTGATGTCAGCAACAAAAATATTAACATCTTCAAGCTGAGAAAAGAAAGTCAAACTTTTGCTGCAAATGTTTTTTTATTTTAGTGTTTTTTTGTAAAGTTATGGCTTCCAGAATTAAAATTTTGGACAGAATGGTTAAAGCTGGCGGTTGTGTCCGTTTATGTATCTCAGCATTTGTTTCACAGTTTTGGTTTCAGTTTGTTTCAGAGCAGGAAAAAAAATCATGATGACAGAAACTTTTAACATCTAACTAAAGAAAAAAGCGATTAATTTGGAGAAATGAAAACAGTTTTCTCAGTAATTCAGTAAAATGTTAAAGGTATGGGAAACTCAATACATTTGCCGTAGTCTGGTAGGAATGAATGCCTTGCAAGCTGTACCCGGGGCAAAAAAGGCCCAGAAGCACTTGGATCAGAACAAACAGGTCTACTGCTGAACACAACATGGCAGAATTTGGAGCCTTATTGCCTGATATTTGGACATTTTGCCCCATATTTGATAACAGCAACACTACTCTACTTGACTTGCAATGTGAATGTTTTATCTCCATAAACAACACAAGCCTGGAGGAGTTTCTTTCTGGTGGAGTTGCTAACGCCAACGGTTAGCTTCTACTAGTCAGGACGTTCTCCGCTGTTTCCTGGATGGTAAAACGACAACATCCTTCCCGTCACGACTCAAGATGGGTGAGTCCATAAATGTTAAGTGACAGTGTGACGTAGATCTGTGTGGATTTTTAAATCTTACTGTTTCACCGTCTATTTTCTACCAGAAGCTAATGCAGGAGATAGGTGTAGGAGACTGTTTTCATGTTCAGCCTGCATGAAAAACTCAGAGTGACCGATTATAATCAGAAATAATTAAAAATGTTTTTTCCACACTTTTAAAATTTTGACTAAATGAATGAAGCTAAAAAATGTATTTACGAGAAAACATAAATATACATGAATCCTGTCTTAATTACTATTTACATACTGATGCTACATCTGAAGAGCGAGGGTCTACTGGTTGTTCATTTCCACTAGGGCTGCAGCTATCGAATATTTTTGTAATCGAGTACTCTATCGAATCTTTTATCGATTAATTGAGTACTCTAATAAATTACTCTTTTGTGTTTTGTAAACCATTATATCAAATAGCATGTTATAAAATATGAAAGACCTCTTGAAATGAGAAAGCAATTGCCAGTTATTCTTCAAGTTTTATTCAAAATTAGTTTTCAAAACTTTAACACTTCAACTTTACTTCACAGTAAACAGATGCGAGCGGCTGCGGCCCAAACAGCGCCAGAACCGCTCACGGCGCATGCACAAACATGGCTCGCCAGCTGTTTCCCTATTAACACACGTTCGTTTTAATTTCTACACTTTTTTTGTCTCACACTAACAAGGATTGTCGAAAGCATGTTTGCCGTGGTTATGTCAAATTACACTGATCACAAAACATTTATGTACTTTCTTTCATTTTCCTCCGCCACTCATAAATACCTGTGTCCTCCTGCAGCAATCCTGAGGGACAACGGACATCAATAACAACACTGTAAAAAGTCTGACGTGTTGTGTAAAAACTGCTATTTTTAGCACATTTTAAGTCCGACGTGTTGCTACCAGACGTACGGTGTGAGCTGAAACTGAGTGCTACAAATGAAAAAGTCGCACAGTGTCTGCAGAATATATAGAAATACAGGCTAAAATGCATTATCTTGTAGAGGCTTCGAGTCCGCTTGCAGAAGTGACGTTTACATGTGGATGTTTCCTGGTCAGGTTGCAGCATCAGGAATATGGTGTTGTGGTAGGCTAAATCCATTTTACAGAATTTACCCTGGAGTACGTTTTCCGCCTTACGACGTGAAAAATGGTCCCTCACCTTTGGCATTTTGTGTCTTTTTCGCACTCCACCGGGGTCCACGTTGTCTGCCATAGCGTTCGCTACTCGCGTGTGCATTCAGTGCAGTATGCATGTGCGTCACTTATTTTGGTCCGGGTGAAACATGACCACGGGCGATTGCAAAGCCATGAATTAATTAAACATAAATTAAACGAAGCTTCGAGGCAGAGAATTTGACTCAAGGATTTTTTGTACTCTAATTATTTGAGGTACTTGAGGAATCGTTTCAGCCCTAGTTTCCACCATTACTAGGGGGTTTGGTGATGTGCTCATTCGTACGGTCTGGACACCAGATAGATTATTCTGCTCAGGGCTTCTCTCTCTCCTGTTCAAACCAATCTTTTTACCACACAGAAGAGTCAACACGTGTTTCCTCAGATTCTCTGACAGCAGACAAAGTAAAGGGTTCAAACAGCAGTGAGAAACGCCAAGAAATCGACAGATACTGTAGGCGATGGCTAGCCGCTCCTCTGCCTCACAGCTGCTGGGTTTGGACAAGGAATAGATGAAGAGGACAACATTGTAGGGTCCCCAGCAGATGAAGTTGGCTGCAACAATACAAAAAACTACACTTACAACTCTGTGTCTTTGTCTGATTGTCGCCTGCAACACCGTTTTGATGATGGCACTGTGGCAGACAATGATGATAATTAATGGAAGTAAGAAGAGCAGCGACAATTGGATAGAATATCCATAACCATCAGATGAGGATTCTTCACAGTAGACATCGTCCTCCACCCCTATTTTGTTGGCATCGTACACAGATGCAGCGATGCCAATGACCCAGGCAGCTACACAGGCACCGACAGCACACCTTCTCTTCCTCAGATCGTCGTTCAGAAATTTGTTCAGCACCACGGTGAAGAAACGATCCACCGTCATGGCCGTCACTATCATGATGCTGCTGTACAGCCCAATAAAGTAGAACGCAGCCACAAATTTGCATAAAAAGTCCCCGAAGACCCAGTGGTGGAGGTGGTATGTAGCCCAGAACGGGAGTGTTGCTGTGAAGATCAAGTCAGAGCAGGCCAGGTTCAGGAAGAACATCTTAGGGATGAATTTTTGTCTTTTGTAGGAGATGAGAACAACAATGAGGAGAATGTTTTCTATAGTGCTGATGATGGTGATGAAGATGAAGATGTAGCCAGTGATGGCTGACAAATCAACAAGTGAACAAATAAGCGCCGCTCCATCAGTGCCATCCACTCCATCATCAGTCGGATCATAGTTATTCTCCATTGCAGCTTGCCTATGAAACATGTCAAAATTCTTCAACTTGTCAAAATAAAAGCACTTTACGTTTTCTAAGCAAGCCGCTAAATTCAAATCGGTTTCAAACAGAGCGCACACTTACCGTGAAAATCAGCCGCCAGAACGTGTGCTGAGCTTCAGACAGAGTCAAGACAGAGCCAAGTTGCTAAATAGATCTTTAAATGTTCCTCTTTTTGGTCACTCCCTGCATCCCATGACGACCACACGCACACCCGTGCATCGATGAAGATGAGACCTTTTGGTTAATAGAAAAGATTATTTTTACTTTATAACATGATTGGTTTTGGAATTTTAAATGGCCGACCAGCTTTTAACCTTTAAGCTTTTAACTGTTTTTCAAAGCTGATCATTGAGGCTAACATAAGTGCCTATGTGTTTTATTTAACTCTGAGTTTACTCTAAAACAAAGTTTACCTTCATGTAAAATTATAGTGGATTAATTGATTAATTGTTTATAGTATCACAAGCTTGAATGAGTTACAGCAACACGAAGAAGTTCGGGGGGAAATGCAGTGAAAGAGAAATTGTGTCTTTACGCCATGTCTGCAGAACAAAGCAACATCTAAGCAGTTAAGCAACTGAGTCAGCATCTTCTTGTTTAATCTTCCTGGTTTATCTTTAAAAGTGGGGTTTGTTATATTTTCCTGGAGCTTTTTCTTGCCAAATTGCTTAAAATGCTCTTCTATGATTGATTGCAACCGATGAATTAAATATCATGTCAAAAATATGAATCCATTTATTCTCCTTTGAAATGCACAATCATGGAAAAACCTCATCCAGTGTAACAGATGGAAGGTTCTGTTCTAAGGGTTTAATAAACCTGAAAATGAAAGACAAAATGCAGAAGATGTTTTTCACAACTAACAGCTCCAAAAAGAAACCTAAGTGACGGTCTAAGAAGGTATAATCACACTGGGTAGTATTTTATCCCACGAACATGAAAAACCAATGATTGCATGGTGTTTTATTTCCTATTGTCATTTCCACTGATCATGTGACCTGAATGTCATGACTTCAGAGTAGGAAGTTCCTTTTCTAATGGTTGACCACATAAAGATGTCTTCATCGCTTGTTTGATACGTGCTCTGTCAGCTGTTGATGTTGTCGTTGTGGTCCCGATGTGTCAGCTATTTCTCTAAACTGGTTTCCAGATGTACTTCCACAGAAACAGGGTTGCAGCAGAATCATTCTCACAACCAGGAAACTGTTTTTTTTTTGTTTTTTTTTGTCACCAGGACAGTGCATGTTAACAACAGTGCAGAGGTGGAAAGAGTACTAAAATTTCCTACTTAAGTACGAGTACCAGTACTTTGATAATTTTTTACTCATGTACAAGTAAAAGTACTTGCCCAAATTTTTACTCGAGTAAAAGTAAAAAGTATCGTAAATAAAATGTACTGAAAGTAAAAGTTACTTAGTTACATTTTTGTCAGCGGAAAGATGGCTACATCAGTGCAAAACCACAACACCAGTTCACACACGCTCGTGTGTGCACGCACACACACACGGACACACACACAGTTTGATAGAAGGATTTCCATCCAATCAGTGAGAACAGGACGTGCACATTGATTGGACGAGGCTTTTCTAGGATTGTAGGTTTCAATTGTGATTAAAAAGATTCTTTATTTTGAAAAAAAAAAGTTAATTTTTAGATGCCATCAGTATGTGAGGTATCTCAATGTTCTCATGACAAAACTAACATGAGACTGTGCTCTAACCTGTCACATAACAAGCGAAATGAAAGTCAAACATTTCAAATGGACCGTATGACAGCTGCTAACGTTGGCCCTGCCCTACTTTACCTCTACATTACAGTTCCTTTATCCATGTCCATCCTAGAGCTCCTCTCTGACCTTCATGCTTATTTAGAGCGGCTGATTTTTAAAGTTAGCAGAGTTCATCCTTGGTAGTGGATTCACTCACTCATTTAAAGATATCGGCCAGAGGCAAAATTCGTTTGAACAGCATGTGTAAATGTGTATTAAAACCTTCGATGAAAAAGGTTTTTGGATTTTGACGGCCCGAATTGTAAGAAAATCTGATGTTTGTGACTGGCGCTGGAAAAACAGAAACTAACTTCCAGTCTAAGCCTTGGGCAGCAGTTGACGTTTCACATGGAGCTCTGCTGAAACAGCTGTAGTACACAACGCCTGACTCCAATGTTTCTGCGTTAGCGTTATAGCAGAGAACAACGTGTCATCAGTCAGATGTAGCTTCTGAAGCCTCTACTAGTTGGTCAGATTTGTTTTTTCTCTGGGATACGGCGACGAGAACAGATACTGGATTACAGGAGAAGTTCAACCGAACTCCGACCCCGCCAGCTGGATATCACTGCCAGAGTTACAGGTATGTTTTAGACCGTTTGACTCAGAAGACCTGCGACCCGATTTGGACATAGAGGAAGATTCTGTTCATCTTCAGAACCAAAATTGGTACAGTTTGTTTACTTTTCTTAAATATTTAGTTTCTGTGCTCCACTGGGAGCTCTAAACTGACAAGTTTTCAGCTGGTTTTAGCTCCATCATGTGTCCCAATATAGTTCAGTAATCTACAGTTTTACTGCTGTGTGTATTTATTGATATAACTCTGGAAAATATTTAACCGACAATTTACCAGAATAAATCTTCCTGATGCTGGAGTAACTCCTTAGCTCAACTCGTTTTTTGCACTAATCCGGGATGTCATGGAGGTTCTAAAGTTGAAATATAGCGATCATCTTTTAGATTATATATGTGTGTGTGTGTGTGTGTGTGTGTGTGTGTGTGTGTGTGTGTGTGTGTGTGTGTGTGTGTGTGTGTGTGTGTGTGTGTGTGTGTCGTAGCTTTCCCAAAGGACTTGTTCTTTCCTTACCGGAGCTAACACGGTTAGCAGTGTTGCTGCAGTCATGCTAACGGGACTCGTCTAGAGTCCAGAAGTAGCGGTGCAGTTCTAGATGGATTTATAGATGTAAGTTATTATTTTAGATCAGACCTGTTATTAAAAAATGCGTGTAGGACACAGACACATGGCTCAGACCTTTTGCTGTCGCTGTAAACGCAATTTTACGTAATAAGTAGGAGCATGAAAGTAAACAAATAACAGTGATTCACAATATAGCGTCAGCAGCTACCTTGTGTTACGTGCTCGAGCGACGTATGCAAAACACAGTACTTCACTGTCTGGAGGAGAGGATTTGGATTTTCTGTAATGATTTATGACAAAAGTTCTTAACAAAATAAAAAAACTGAACCCAGTACATGTTTATATAGATGGTAAAGTATAGTTATTTTGCATTTCTACAATTTTAATGCCGAGCCAATACCTTTAACCCTTCACCACTGAAATCAGTTTGTTCATTCCAATCCTCCTAAATAATCCTCCAATCATCCAACTGGAATCCTTAAGGGTCCCGTAACGTCCATCCTGTCAGAACAGGCCTTGGGAGCCCAGGTGTTACGAGAACTAATGGTGTCTCCTCACCAGCGTGAGCCTCCAAACTGTGAAGGTTGGTCTCCAAACATGAACTTTAAATTTATGCATTTATCTCCTCTTGTAACACTTTAACATGTTTTAAAAGGCTTGTATCATGATATGTTACACCTCCCAGACCAAGGATAGGTCCAATATAAGATAAAACATTATCATAAACACTGTAGAGACGTCACTGTTTATGAAATATGTTATTTTCCTGAGCCATTATTTCAGCCAAGATATACGATGCATGGATTTGATGAAACCATGCTGTCTCATGCAGTCCTATATGTGTAACACACACGCACACACACACACAAACACACACACACACACACACACACACACACACACACACACACACACACACACACACACACACACACACACACACACACACACACACACACACACTGCAGCATGTTAGAATTGTTTGAATGACTAATTTAACTACATTGAACTGCTTTTGTAATAATTTAATCTCTTATTCTGGAGTAAAATAAAGAAACAAGCTAAATCATCACATATCTGTGGCATCAAGAAGCAACTTCTGAGTTCAGACACAGGGATGGAGCACAATGTTTACACCTGAACAGTGTCAGGATGTTTTAACTCACGGAGGCCTGCAGGTCTTCTGTTTTATGAGCAAAGCGCTGATAATCCACTTGTTATGAGCGCTAAACGTTATTTTGCCGCTTCCGTGCGGAGCGGTAGGGAAACACAAAACACGGAACCGTGTATGAACAGTGTTCTGTGAGTGCACATTTTTATTATCCAAGTGTAACAAACACGATTAAACAATTTAATGTGTATGATTTTTGTGGTGACCTAATAACACAACAGTCCAATATCTATTGAGCTAACAATGCTAACGGTGAAATGCAATAAATAGTCTGCTTTTTATAAAAATCTCCTTTTTCAATAACTAACAACACAATATTTATTAAATGTACGTGTGATGTGAATGATGAGTGAATCATGGCGTTTTACTTTAATGACAGAGGCATACTACCGTAATAAGTGTAGTAAGTGCTCCCTACAGTAAAGCGGTAGGGTGCTAACACCTGATACAAAAATGTATTTATCTACTGATCAACTTTCTGTGTATACTCATCTTTGCTTATCATCTAGAATATTCTGCTGCTGATCCATTACTAAACAGCCATGAACATCATGGAACTGCAATGGGAAAGTCATGCTTTGTTTATAAAAATGGACTGCAGTACCCACATTTGACCACAGGATGTCATACTTCATTCTTACATATTGCACCTTTAAAAGAAAAGTGTCAAAACTTCAGTCAACATTGTTTTTACTTTTATTCTAACAGACACACAGTTACATTTATTATCATTTGGAAAACAACAAAGACAACATATAAAAGAGCAGGGAGCAGTGGATGATTTATTGTTTTTCACAATAACAAAAACATGATGAGGCTTAATGAACTAGGTTGATTAAGAAGACACGTTGTATGTTCTCAGTTCTTTGTGATATTTTACATTTGATCATGTAACATTTAAGGTTACATGCATCTATCATCGATTTCAATTATTTGCAAAGGTAGAGTTCAAGCAAGGGACTTAAACCTATTGATAACAAGGCTTCAAAAACCTGTTACACATACTTTCATAACATGTTGGTTTACATGTTTTCTTATTATATGAAGAGTTTGATAACGGGGACGATACGTGGTTTGTAAACACGTAGATCAAACTGTCGAGTATTAGAGTCCCTTAGTCTCTTTTAAACCACAACTAAAGACGAATAACAAACTCATAGATGAATAACCTAAACCTAAAATATTCTGAAAATACATAGAAAGATGTGTAATAAAAATTTTGATATAATTTTTTATTTACAATCTTAGAAAAATCCTGAAAAGGAAAGTGTGTGTGTGTGCGTGCGTGCGTGCGTGTGTGTGTGTGTGTGTGTGTGTGTGTGTGCGTGCGTGCGTGCGTGTGTGTGTGTGTGTGTGTGTGTGTGTTTTAATGCATGTAGGTTCTGCAAAGGTTCCCACAAATTCCTTTTACAAGAAAGCCCCCTACATGGAGAACTGCTCTCCGCTGGTATGAGACGTGATGGTAAGCCGGCTCTGTCTGTTTCGGATGCTGTTGTTCCTGTAGCCCCAGCTCTTCAGCAGTTTCTTCAAATGGGTCTTGAATTTCACCCCCAAGAACACATAAAACACGGGATTGAGGCAGCAGTGTGAGAAGGCGAGAAGTCTGCTGACGTAGAAGGTATAATCCAACCTGTCTCTAGCTGCACAGAGTTCTTGTAGCTGTTCTGTTGGTTTCTCAGTTTGTTGGAGCCACAAATTTGACGACTTCAGAAATATAACTGCATTGTAAGGTCCCCATCCGACAACGAAGACAACCATGAGAGTAAAGATGAGTTTGACAGTTTTGTTTCTTCTTCTTTTAGCGGAAGGGTGTAGCAACCTGCACATGATCTGGGAATAGCAAAAAACAAACACCACTGCAGTGAGGATGAAGAGGACTTTTTGTTGGTAGGTTCCCCACATTCTTCCATCAGAGGTCTCAAGTCCACAGTAACCTTGGCCTTTGGCTTTGACAAAGATGAAGACCGGACTTCCAGCCAGGATGCTAACAAACCAAATAATAATGCTAGCAATGATGGAGGAGAGGCCTGTGGCGGACACAAAGTCAGACAGAGGACTCATGACAGCTACATAACAATGAATAGTCATCAGGATGAGGAGGAAACCGCTGCTGTAGAAGCCAGCGTAGAAAATGAAGTTTATCATTATGCACAGAGGCTCACCCAAAATCCACTTAGACTTGATGTGATAATGGGCCCAGAAAGGCAGGCCTGCTGTGAAGAGGAGATCTGATACAGCAAGGTTCAAGATAAAAGTATTAATGAGGGATTTCAGATTCTCGTACTTGACCAGAATCACAAGAACCAGGATGTTGCCAAACAAACTGAGGATCGTAACGATGGAGAAAAACAAAGGAGTCAAGAAGGCTCCAAAACTGATCACATTTGTTTGGTTGCAACTTTCATCATCGTAATTACTGTATAGATGTAGGAATACTCTGACATGTCCGTGATGTTTTCAGTAGAGGCCATTTTCCTCCAGCACGAATAGAGTCTAAAAATTAAAAGAAACCAACCATTAGAAACAAAAAAGGCAACTCTAATGTTAAAGGAAAAGCTTTCTGCCTTCACCTGAACCTATGTGGTTATTAGTTAAAATTGTATTATTATAGCCCCTTAGAAAATATAGCATAATATAAATAATCTATATTTGTTATTTTGTTATTCTACAGTAGTGCAGTTTGGAAGATTTTACATGCATAAACAATTTAAAAGTAAATGCATATTTCACAGATGATTGGATTAATTGATTTCCATTCAGATACGTAAAAAGTTTCCATATTAAATAGAATTATTTATCAGCCTGTTAAAACATACATGACTGACGTTGCATTTTAAAACTTAGCTATGTGTGCATTAACTAAGCTGATGCCTTTAATAAAAACATTTTTAATGAAATAGTTCATTCTGTTCTGGTTCTAGAAAATACCAAACAGCACAAAATGACAGCATCAGGAATTTTATCCAAAGCTGTTTTAGTTTGGCAGAAAAAAATGCATTTGTGTGAAATCAACGCAAAACTTAAAAAAATAAGTCTACGCAAAACATTTAAATTATAATAATCAATCTACGCCAACAAAATTCTGACAAAAATGGCAGCAAAAACCTTTACAGAACCCTGAGAAATGCAATTGCATTGGTCTGAAACAAAAAATCTGACTGTATAATAAAGGAAAATATAAATACAGGAGGAGATAAAAAAATATATATTCTTCTTTACCTGTAACGCACCAGGACTTCAGCCACAATACGAGCAAAAACCTGAGTGGGGCTCACCTTAAATAGACAGAGAAAGCAGAACAGATACAGAACATTATTTTCACATCATAGGTGTGACGTTTTGGTGGGGTTTTAAGGGCATTGGTAGCTCCGGAGGTAGAGTGGGCTGTCCAGTAATCAGAAGGTTGCAGGTTTGATCCCGACTCCTGACAGAGAAGTCTGCTGTTGTGTCCTTTGGCAAGGCACTTAACCCACCTTGCCTGCTGCTGGTGGTCGGCGGTGGTGGCGCCAGTGTTCGGCAGACCTCGCCTTTGTCAGTGCGCCCCAGGGCAGCTGTAGCTACATTGTAGCTCGTCCTCACCATTGTGTGAATGTGTGTGTGAATGACTGATTGTGTTGTGAAGCACCTTGGGGGTTGTAGAACCCTAAGAAGGCACTATACAATACAGGCCATTCACCATTTAAACATTTGGAGTTACAGTTATTTATCCTTTTGATTGGCTCCTCTTCCTCCTGTTAAATTATAAAACTGAAGTTCAAGTAAATATAGATAAATTACTTTATCTATCTATCTATCTATCTATCTATCTATCTATCTATCTATCTATCTATCTATCTATCTATCTATCTATCTATCTATCTATCTATCTATCTATCTATCTATCTGTCTGTCTATCTGTCTATCTGTCTGTCTGTCTGTCTGTCTGTCTGTCTGCACCAAGATCTGCACGTTTCTGGTTTGTTTATTTATCGCGTGCTTCTCAACCAAACTACGCTTGAGTTCAGCAATAGCAGATTGGTGATTGGTACATATGTCTGTCAATCATCTGCAGAGCCTGCCTCCAACGGCAGCACATTAGTTATTTACTGTATCACCCGGATTCTGGTCATTCCTGATCATTTTACCCAACAAGTACGTCTCTTTTGTGGTTTTATATTAGTTACTAAATAGTTTCTCTTAATTTATTGTCAAACTTTGGTCATTTGTTGCGGAAATAGGTTTTAGATGGAAGCAGGGATTCCGTAGCTGAGCAGGTGACTGCTCACCAGCTTTTTTATTTTTTCTATTTTGACGAGCCGTTTATGTTGCGGTGTGTTTTATTTAGATGTGTTACATGAAAGTCCGTATTTATGGATGACAAATATACGGTATATACATTTTATTAACATTTTTTTATTTCATAAGAACAAACTACGCAGCCACCTGTCACCACGGTTCACTTTCATAGCAAATTAAGCTAACAGTCTAGTTCTAAGCTAACTTTGTGGCTATACGGTCTAGTTCCAACTTCAGTGTTTAATAGTGTCATACTACCAACACCAATAAAGTTGTGTTATTTTGTTTGTTTCTTACATATTGTGAGCAGCTTTGAGGCAGCTATAAAATCTTTTAATTTTTAAGATTTATTTACAGAAATATGACCCAAACCTTTTCCATTTTAATCTTTTATTAAGTATTTACTGACTCCACCACCCGGGGTTGCCCCACAATGGCCTCCTCTTCATCAGTTGGAGACAAGCAGCTTCAGAGGATAATCAGAGATCTGCAGGGTGATTCATTTGTTCACACATTAACATCTGTCCTGCTGTTTTGATGTTTAGGAAGCATTGTGCTGTTACTGTAATATGTGAAAAATGTGGGTGATCTATGAACAATATTTCAGTTGGTTACAGGAACTTAATTAAAATTAATTTAAATTGAATTAATCCATTATTTTCCAGGCAGAGCCCTCCAGAAAATTATTGGGATTTGCTTTAGGTGATTTGTATTGATTAATGTCTGCTAACAACATTCTCATATTCTCATTTTTAATCCAGTACTTTTAATAACTTTTACTTGTCCTATTTACTCAGTTACGGAATATTAGTTTTTTGTGTTTTGTGTGAATTCTGATTTTACTCTTTGCAATAGATGCAGTGTTTGAGTTGAGTAAAGAACACCAGGAAAGTGGTGAACCTATAACTGATGACAGTTCCAATCTGCACAAGTTCTTCTACAAACTAGAATATCTTCTGCAGGTAAACCCACCTTATCAAATCAGGTAATAAAAAAAATCAATAAAATATCCGTAAAACATGGTACTGACTTTATCTTTTAGATGGAAATCTGTTTATATAAGGTTAGGGCCCTCACTCATTTTAATTTGGGTGTAAAAAAATTGCAAAGAGACTCATGATTAAAGCTCTTTTATTACAGTTTGGACCAAAGTCACATCTTCATGTGTTAGTGCCAGATGTGTGGTGATGTGTGTAACCAAGGACACGTTAATGAGTTGGTTCTGTTATCCTCAGTTTGACCAAAAAGAGAAGACAACCTTTCTGGGCCAGAGAAAAGACTACTGGGATTACTTCTGCGACTGCTTGATTAAGATCAAAGGAGCTAACGATGGCATCCGTTTTGTTAAGTCCATCCCAGAGGTAATCCATCTGTGCAGCACACACACACACGCTGACAGCTGGTGACATACATAACAAGTGCTCAGTAACCATATAATCCTCTGGTCATGGTGGAGCAGTAAGATGCTGACTCATTTGCTATTTTACACCAAAACTTTTTTCTGAGCTCGGACATCGCTGGTGAGCTTTAAAGTAGTTTTAGTTTCTGCCATAGTTTTCATGCTGATTGTTTAACCTTCGTTGGGTCAAATCGTATTCAGATGAACTCGTTTTGATTCTTTTCAGTATTCAGATTCTACTTTGAAATGTTATGTTTACTATTTTGTCTTTTTGGAACAGGACCAAACCTTTTTCTTTTAATTAGATCCAAGGGCCCACATACTGTGTAAATAATCATTTTCTTATTAAATGTAGGGAACATGTCGACATTTTTTAAATTTGTATTCAAAACTTCTGCTGTAGAATAATTTACAATCAGAACAGAAACAGATGTTGTTTGTAGGGTTTGGGAAATTGAGTGCTTTAAAAGCTAAATCTAAATATAGAATATCAACCTGCTTGGTCTTTGTGTGTTTAATCAGAAGATTCTAGGATTCAGGAAAGAGTCAGGTTTGTAAAAGTAAGAATTTAATTCCCAAACAATTAAAACATGACAAGTTAACTAACATTTACTGTGAGTGTATGGATCTAGATGGAGTAGATGTGGTGTATGAAACCCATGTGTGAATGCGATGTTATCAGAACTTCCGTATCTAGGAAAGCTGAGTTCTGGGTGTAAAAGAATTTGGTTTGCGTTAAGCTATGAAGTTGGTTCTTATCAAAAACATCAGACGCAATCACACTGTGTTCTACCTCACCCCCTCGGAGACCCTCTTCACGGATCAGGAGGTCATTGAGGTCGGATGACCTCTTACCACCCAGGTCCAGTAGATTGACCAGAGCGCCGACTTCTCCAGTCCAGAGATGTCGCCAGGCACACAGGTTGGATGGAACCGTTTGCGTCTAGACCCTTAAGGAGTCGGGACAATATCAGCTTTGTTCTGCAGGAACTGTTTGCTGTGTCAGCTTGCAACGACAGCGTGTCAAGGCTGCTTCTTAGTTAAAGAGAATTCACCACGGACGGCTGTTTCCGTAGCTTCCTCTAGAACGCTGTAGAGCTGGAACTGGAACTGCAACTGCTGAATCACCAGAGTGATTCTGTTTTAATGTTCTCATGTTATGATGTGTGTGGCCAACCAGAGGTTGACATGTTGAGGAATATTACCAAGACAACCTCAGAAACACGCCTTTTTAGATACCGGATGCTCTGATCTGGGATAAAGAAATACCTATGTGTCACGCGTTTGACTTAACTTTAACTTTGTCCTTGTGTGAGTTTAGATGGTGATGACCTTGTCATATCCACTACTGATCCATATATAAATCAATGTAATTATAACATAACATTAATTTCAAACTTCAGTCATTCAAGCACAGATTAATGAAAGCATTTCATTATATTATAATTATTATAAATAGCAATCAACAAACATTTAATTATTATCTAACTTATAAGTTTTAAAAGTTCATATTTAATTTAAGAAATCATTCTTTGATTAAGCAACTAATCCGAGCTGCGAATGTTCACTTATTCAGAGGCATGGAGAGTCCTGTAGGACGATAAGGGAAGCTTGAGACCTTGAGGAGGGAACATCATTGTTGACAATACGTTATCATGTGTTCAGAGCTGCAGAGAGGCTCTGAGCTCCAGCTGATGGGATGAAGGCAGGCAGATTAAAGGAAACACAGACTCGTGTCTCCATTTTGACCAGATGTTGAATGGTCAAACTGTACCTGAAAACTGACCATTACCGGACATTACACGTGTTTATCATTTCAGCCTTTTATTAAAGGACTAATTTCTGCTCTTTTATATGAAACTAGACTTTCTTTATTTTTCAAACCAAAGCTGCATTTGTGTTTAAACCATTCTTGATGAGACAGTTGATAAAAAAAATTAATGAGTTTTGAAGAGCAGATGAGATTTTTCCATGATCAGTTTTTTTTACTACTTAGTGAAACATCAATGTATTGTATCTTAAAAGCTATTACCAGCAAACATTAATCAGCTTTTTGCTTGAAAGTCTGAATTGATATATAAAATCAATTAATGCAACAGTTAGAAAAATATTTCAGCTTCTGATCAAATAAATTATAAATAGGTTGTAATTCATACATTAGCGAAACACCTTCCTAGTATAAATTCAGGTTCACATCGGTCAGTGTTTTCAGCAGGAGTCACACTCTTTAGTCAGTGACCGATTATTTGTTGTAAACTTTTGATTTTCTTTACTTCACTTTGCTCCCACAGTTTTCATGTCTCGTTCGTTGGTCACAGATCTAAACATGTCCAGCTGGTGTCCTTCTGGTGTTTCGGTGTATCTGTGGTCTTACTTAAATCCGTCCATCTGCCAGTGTGTTGGAGAGTCTGGGGTTTCACATCCACATTCAACATTTAGTGTCTATATGGTGGAGACTGTGGAGACATATAAATATCTAGGGGTGTACCTCAACGATAAGTTAAACTGGAAAAGGAACAGTGATGCTGTTGTTAAAAAGGCCCAGTCCAGATTGTTTTTTCTTAGGAAGCTAAGATCTTTTGATATAAGTAGGAGGCTCTTAAATGTGTTTTATCAGGGGATTATGGCCAGTGTGTTGTTTTATGCTGTGTTGTGTTGGGGCAGGAGCCTCACTGCTGAGGACAAAAACAGGATCAACAAAATGATCAAGAAATCTGGCTCAGTGGTTGGGCAACGCTTGGACTCATTTGACATGATCATCGACAAAAGGATGAAGAGTAAACTTAAGACAGTTATGTCTCTGGAGGATCACCCCCTTCACCACATTTTTAAGGATCTCGGGAGCTCTTTCAGTGGGCGAATGTTAATGCCCCGGTGCTCCACTGAACGTTTTAGGAACTCTTTTATTCCAGCTGCAGTGCGTTTTTACAATGAGCATTTCGTATGATTGTATATTTGATATTTTTATATTTTATCAGGACCAGTGAATGTTTTATTGTGTGGATGTGCATGTTGTGTTTACTTGTCCAAGGCAATTCAATTTCCCCCTTGGGGATTAATAAAGACAACCTTGAACCTTGAGAAAATATGAACCTCCAAAAGTAGATCAACAGGGACGAATCACTCTTTTTCTCTGTTACTAAACCAGTTGTGTCCTGATTATGATGAGTTTCTAATCTAATCAGATCTACAAATCGTACATCGTTGATGAACTGAACAATTAAAAGCTTTTTCTTTGATGCAAAGATTAAGAAAGTGTTGCAGCCTTTAATCTGGGTCGGCTGATTCTTTGTGCTGCAAACCATTCTGCAGCACCGCGTCTTCATGTGAAGGAGCCTGAATCAGAAATGATTGAAACTACAGCATCATGTTCTGTGTTTGCATTCATGAGTTCACATTAATATAAATATCCTTTTTGTGTCTCTAGGTGAAGACATCTCTGGGAAAAGGAAGGACCTTTGTTCGCTACTCACTCGTCCACCAGCGTCTTGCCGACTCTCTGCAGCAGTGTTTTATAAATCAGAAGGTCACAAGGTCAGAGAAAACATCAACACTTCATCTTTTAGTCGTCCTGAAGCTGTGTAGACCTTGTGTTTGTTCTCCACTGAGGTGTAGTAGTCTGTGTTCATTCAGGGGAAGTTTGACTTTCCCTTCCTGATTTACGTTTTGTTTCTCTTTTTTTAAGAAACACAACCCAAAAGCATAGATCCCTAAAAATATTTCTCATTTCCTGGCTTTTCTCTAAAAGGTTGTTATGCTTTAATTATTTAACCCTCTCAGGCTCAAAATAAGTTTTGATAAAAGGACGAACAACTAAGTCCTTCAGGGGAACTTCTGAGTAAAAAAAATGCTCATGAAGTACGTGTGTGGAGTAACCAGGTAGGTGGGTTTTAGCCTGCCTCCAGAGGGTTAATGTTGAGTCGTCTGGGGTACAAAGCAAACAGCACAAACTGGTTTTTCTTTAACAATTCCATAAAGTTATAGTCTGCATTTGGATTTCTGCTTTATTTATTTATTTTTTGTTTACTGTCATTTCAATTTTAGGTTTTTGCTTTTTAGAACATTTTCTTTCCGTTTATTGCAATTTCACCTCACTCACTGTACGGCAGGGGTCCTCAATTATAATGGTCCGAGGGCCACACAAAAAAGACCCAGAAGCAAGAGGACTCGGGGGGGGGGGGGGGGGGGGGGGCTGTTGCTGTTTGGGCTGTAATGCACATAACACACAAGCTTGCAGGACAACACCTGTCCCCCTCCAGCTGGGCTGTGTGACTGCACTAACCTGTCCTGTGGGACCCTCACCATGTGACCCTCATGTCCATGCTGTCTCTGGAGGAGCAGATAGGAGACAAGATCTCCTGTAACTTAAAATGAACCAAAGCGTCCTCCCAGTTTCTCTTTAAGATGAATTTAACATCAGTTCATCTTCATGAAACAAAAGAATAAAGTGGAACAAGAACTTCTATTTCTCTCCTTTTAACTTCTCCGTGTCCCTAAATAAAAGAGACAGATGATTACGCTGCAGCCGCCGTCACTGACCCCGCTCCCTCCTCAAGACCGGACCTCCCGACATCACAGCACTCGGTCTGACCTGACTGAGCGCTTCCAGGAGAAACAATAATGAAATTATGAAAATAATAACGCGTGTTTGGAGGAGCGTCCTCCGATCCTCTCTCTTGTGTGAGCAGACTATCTCCCGCTTTCTCTGTCTCAGTTGCTGAACGAGCGAGCGGAGCGCGCTGCGCAACAACCCGCTCAATTAACATAATTTACGACCCAAATCCAACAGAACCGGTCGGGCTGATTCGATTCAGGTTCGGTGTCAGGCTATAACTCCAGCGCTCAGCCCTGCAGTACCACGTAAATGCAGATCAAAGTTTCCTACCTGGTAAATGTGGAGAACACCGCTCTGACAGATCTGGATGCTGCGCTTGTGCCGCTGTTATAATAATAAAACTACATTCCACTATAATTGATTATGGTACTCTTCTATGATGCAGAATCGTTTATGCCCGCATCTCATGCATTGATTATTTGATTATTTTCTTCAGCTCTATCCTAAACCTCCCGGTCGGTGGTGGGGGTGTGGGGGTATGGGGGGGGGGGGGGGCGCAGGGTTTGGGGGCCACAAAGAGTGGGCCCGCGGGCCACCATTTGCGGACCGCTGCTGTACGGGATCGTTGATGTTTATTTAATTTAGCACAGAAAGGTGTTAAAACGGATGAAACTGGGAAATGTGAGACAATTAAATCTCTGTTTATGTTTTGTTGTTGCAGTGACTGGTATTATGCCCGAAGTCCCTTCCTTAAGCCTCACATCACTGCTGACATTATCAATCATCTATATGAGCTCAACCAGATTCAGTTTGATGTGGCCGCCAGAGGTTACGACCTTGATGCAGATTGGCCAACTTTTGCAAGGTAACTGGTGCCTAAGATTTTAATAAGCGTTCACAGCTGGAGGATTCTTGTTTTACTTGAAATACAACTTTAAGACCAAGTTCACTTTCCAGTACATTTGCAGGCTCCAGTATAAATGAGTACCTTGTGAGCCAATGAAAAAGCCCTGGCGCTCCTTTTTCAGGAAGTAGGTTTTGGAGTCCTATTTTCTGATATTCAGACATCTCACCTTTGATTGGCTAGGAGCAATGTGGCTCTACCACTGACTCTGCTTGCTTTGCAACACTGATGTTTTATCTCCACTAGTACCACAAGCCTGGAGGAGTTCTGCCATGTTGTGGAGTAGCTAATGCTAGGTTAGCTCCTACTAGCTGAGAAAAGCACTGCTTTCTCCTGGACGCTAAACCAACAACAGGCTCCCCTATTGCAAGGACGTTGTCTTCACTTTTGGCAGCCCCTTTCCCTCTTAATTGCAATACTAAAAGTCTGATTATAATTGTAATATTAGGACTGAATTTAACAGGAAAACTCAGGCCGCACACATCCAGTGTTATCGCAGTTGAAGTTGAAATTTCACCACACAAAGGAAATACATTGAAGTGTGTGCATGCAACTGTTTTTAAATCTCAGTTTAGTGTAATTAAATCAAATATTGCAACGTTTTAGTGTATAAGTATTTATTACATCACTAATGGTCTTTCTAATGTTGGAGTGGCTGGAGTAGATCCTAAAGGTGTGGCCAAGCAGGCAGATTAAGAACTTTATTTAAGGCAAACTGAACCTACAGAAGCTACAAATAAGTGAACAGGACCACCTGACATGAAACGAGAAACCGAGGACTGCATATACAACAGAGCGCATGAGTATGTTCAGTTGTGTAATGCAGATGAATGGGTGAAAGGAATGAGGGGGGCTGTGGAGAACAGTGGGTAGCAGAATGGCTCTGGTGGCTGGGATGTAAACAAACTGAAATCTGATTTGATCTTTCGCTGAACCAAAGGAGAACTTTAGGAGCTGCTTCATCAGCTCACATGTGGAAGCCTCTAAGTCGTTGCTCCAGCATCAACAGCCTGATCAGCAACACGCCACACTTACAGGTAAAACCATGACTATAAGATCCACTTTTACTGATTGTAACTCTCAAATGTTTACAGCAGCTGACCAGAATTGTCCTCTCTCATTTTAACGCATCAAACGCAGGCGCAGGAGGGCAGTCTGAACCCTGGCTTGAGTCAGAGTCTGCTCAGTGAACTTGGAGATTCGGCAGGACCTTCTTCCTGCAGTGTTGCAGAGAACCTCCGCTTTGAGCTTGACCAGTCCGAGCTCAGACAGCGGGAGCTGTCAGCACGAGTACGCGATTTGGACAAAGAGGCTGCTGAACTCAAAGGTGTTGTCAAGGACCTGCAAGGGCAGCTATCATCTGTAGCTGCTCGGAATAACTCAGAAACAAGTAATGGAGTAAACCGTCAGATTTTTGATTTACATGAGAGACTCACAGCGTCTGAGACCAAAAACATGAACCTTCTTTCTAAGTTAGACGAGGCTCTCAATGAGAAGGGACAGCAAACAACCAGCTACTATGATTCAGCGTGGAAGATCCAAGAACTTCTAGAAAAACTAAAGGCCGCTGAGGAAGAGAGGTTAGCGGCGAAGAAAGAGGCCGAGGACAAGGCCAGACACGCAGAGCGTCTCTCAGAGCAGCTGAAACTCAGGGAAGAAGAGTTGAGGACGTGTGAGGAGAAGCTAGCCGGAGTGAAAGCCAGAGCTAGCGATGATAAAGACGAGGCGCTTGCACGTTTGGAGGAGCTCCAAAGTGTGGTCGGTCGAATTCAGGGGGCACTGACTCTAAAAGAGAAAGAAACCGGAAACCTGAGGGCCCAGCTTCAGGGTGTGCAGGCCTCGTTGGAAGGCAGGGAGCGACAGGCGGAGGAACTGAGGAAAAGACTACAGGAGGAAAGGGAGGAAGTAGAGCAGAGGTGTGGACTGACTTGTGAGGAACTTGAGGGCCAGATGTTGGATTTAAGAAGGATCTTAAAAAGCAGAGAGAAGGAACTCGCTGCTAGTTCTGAAACCATCCAGCATTTGGAGGAGCAGCTAGATAAATTAAACGCTGAGAGAGAGACTCCATGTTCTGAAGGTGATGATACTGACCCCATGGTGTGTTCTGATCAGGACTATAAAACCCGGTGTGACAGTCTCATGGAAATAAACACTAAGCTTCTCCAAACCATTGCAGTGAGTGAAACGAGCATTATAGAGCTAACCGAGAGCAGGGCTGTCCTGTTAGACCAGCTGGCTGCCTCAAAGGCCTCCGAGAAGCACCTGAAGGCTCGGATCGAAGCGGCTAGCATGAATGTAGAAGACAAAGAACAGAAGATTTTAGACGAAAACCTGCGTCTGGAACAGAGCCTCCAGAAGGTGCTGCTACAGAAGGAAGAATTAGATGCCCGCTTGAAGAAGTTGCAGCAAGAGAACTTGGGCCTTTTAGATGCTCAGACCTCATTGAAGGCACCGTTAACTATGACTCAAGAGATGCTGGAGTCGACTAAAGCTGAGATGGTAGAGAAGAACCTCACAGCCTCCCAAAAAAGCCAATCAGAGCTACTTGAAAAGCTCCGGGAAACTGAGGAGAAGCTGAGAGCCCAGACTGAGATATGTGGTCACCTGCAAGGTCGAGCAGATGAGCTGGAGAACAGAACCAGAGAGATATACTATGAAAAAGGAGCTGCTGAATTAAATGAGAAGACCTCCTCACTGGAAAGCAAAGAAGCTCCCAGCAAGCTGGTAATGGCTGAAGCTCAGTTGGAGCTGAATCTAAGGGAGGTAACAAGGTTACGGGAGGAAGTGATGGAGCTCAGGGCTCAGCTGTTGGCAGGAAACCAGGAGAAGATGAAACTCCAGGCCCTGCAGGAGGTGACTGCAGCCTCCAGAGAGGACCTCCGTATGCTGGTAGATCAGCTGAAGGCCCAGGTGGAGGAGCTCAACCGCAAACACGTAGATGACATCCTCAGATCGCAAGAGCGTGAGGAGGCTCTCATTCGTGAGCGAGACGGTGAGGCGCGGGCTCGAGCAGGTCTGACCGCGGAGGTGATGAGTTGCAGGGAGGAGGCCGAGAGGCTGAAGATGAGCTACGACGCTGTGCGTGTGGAAAACGGCGAATCGCGGGAAGCTCTTCACCGAGCCAACACAGAAACCGCAGAACTCGGGGTGCACGTCTGCATGCTGACCGCGGAGAAGGAGGAGGCTCGTCTGCGTTGGGAGGACCTGTCGACAAGGCTGCAGGAGCTGGAGGAGGAGGCGACTCAGGAGGCAGAGAGGCTGAACGCCTGCGTAGAGCAGTTACGCCAGGAGAACCAGGAGCTCCGCTGTCAGCTCCAGACCGAGGAGGATCTGTTGGCTCTCAAGCGGAGACTGCAGGTGGAGCTGAGCAAAGCTCAGCAGGAGGTGGAGACGCTACGAACAACAAGTCAGGAGGGGATTCAGGTGCTTCAGCTCCACCCCAGCAGCCAAACCGCATCCCATGACAACCAACTCCAGGTCAGGCCTGAGCAGAGACACTAGTGTTTACGTTAGGCACATGAAAAGCATCTTTAAGATTCCCGATAACAAACATGTTTTTATTTCACTGAACCCAGATAGAAAAAACACGGGGGCGTAATAAAACTCCGTTTTTATTATTTTATTTACACTTAATGAAAACATAGCATCCCATCCAGTCAGTACCAGCATTAGCTAAAAGTGGTCAGATTTAAAGTGCAAACAGACCTGTCCTGATCTCTGTTCCCCTCAGAAGGCGACGCCGGAGTTACAGGACGTGAAGTCACAGCTGGAGAAAGAGCAGGAGCGATTCTTCAGCTTAGAGAACAAACTAAAGCAGATGGAGGTGAGTGGACGTTTGCTAGGCTGACCTGAGCAGTGATGCGACGGGACAGAAAGACCGGATTAGAAAACCAAAAGGCTCCACTAACGCTGGCTGATTGAATTATAATCTTAATTACCATCCTGGTTTTAAGCAATCATAAAAACAAAATGAGCAGATTATTTTTGCGTTTCGAGTTGCAAATAAAGCACACTTTCCTCACAGTGTTGCCAAAGTTCTAATGGCTTTTCAGACCCCCTTAGCAACATTTATTTTTTCCAAACAGCACCAAGCAGCACTGGTGACACGTAAACTTTGCTTTCTGGCTTCAGCTCCTTTTTTTACAGGTTCAGGTTCTGCCCCGGTCCTCCAGTCGATCTGCCGCTCCATCCTCCCCTTACGCATGACTCCATAACACTTAAGCTCCACCCTTTTCCTGTAGGGAACCACAGCCTCGAATTTGGAGGTGCTGATCCGTGTCCCAGCTTCTTCCCACTGGGCTATGCCTCTGCTCCCTCAAGCCTAGTTTATGCTTCTGCGTCAGCGCCATGAGGGAGAGATGTACGCGTTGTTGGAGATGCAGTTACCCACCAGGACAACAGAGAGCGTAACGCTATTCTGGAGTGTCATGTCATGTATCCGGTCTAAGATAGTGCATTTACTCTTGTGTTTTTTGTATTTCAGAGACTTTTTAACACGGACTTATTTGTCCCACGTCTCTCATCATTTCCATCCTTGCACACTGGAGAGGGTAAATGCGTTGCGTGTCTCCATACCGATGCAGAAGCATAAACTAGGCTTTAGAGCAGAATAACGAGGAGCGTCTCAGATTGATGAAAACACAAATTCACACAGAACCAGAAGTAATGTGTGGCTTTTCCGTACCGAACGCAGGCTGAGAATAAGAGATGTTGCCAACAGATTGAGGAGAAAAATATCCAGATGGCCAAATCAGCAAATCTCATCCTGCAGAAAGAAGACGAGCTAATCCATCTGAAAGAAAATTTATCAAGGTAAGATACAGTTGCTGTCATCACACGCTGAGTCTAATTAAAGTGCTTTGATAAAACACTAATCTTGTGTGTTCATGATTTGGCTTCATGTATCATTTTACTGCCTGCTGGTTGTTTTTAAGCTTCCAGAATAAGAATAATATTTAAACCATCACAGTCGGAGCCAGCCGGGAGTCTCTCCGTTTGATTTGTTTGAGCAAGTCATGACTCGGCTCCTGATTGCAGGTCTGAAGAGAGTCTGGCAGCGGCTCAGCAGGCCTGTAAGGAGATGGCTGAAAACCTACGGAGGGTCACGCAGGACAAACAGAGCTTCGATCTGAGGACCGCCGCCGAACTCGATGACCTTTATCGAACAAAAGTCAATCTGGAGGAGAGGCTCGTGGAGCTCATCAGGTATTGTGTTATTATTAATAAAGCCTAATGATATTCTGGAATATATAAATACACTGGTTTGTGGTTTGTCAGGGAGAAAGACGCACTCTGGCAGAAGTCCGATGCCCTGGAGTTTGAGCAAAAGCTGCGAGACGAGGAGACGGAGAGGGACTTTAATTACTGTTTGGGCTGTCGCACTCAGTTCAGCTGGTGGCTTCGTAAATACAACTGCAGGTCTGATATTTACCTTCAAAAAACATAATTTAGTCAGAGAAAGCCCACAGTCATTTCTGCTTTGCTACAACTCTGTATGTTTAAAAAGAAGAAACCACACTCTAAGGAATGTTTGCATTTCTGTTTTTCACTTCTTCTTTAGAGTCAAAACTCCTCTTCTGTAACCGACTCATTTTCAGTTATGCTTATGGATAAACACAGGAAGTTAATAGTAACTTCCAGCTCACTGGAGTTATCATTTTATTCAGTGTGCACTCTTGCACACCAGCTATTCGTTTGCAAGAGTGCACATTTTTCTTGGAGAAACCTGGCGGTGTATTCCACTTGACTGCACCTAAAAAGACCAGCACAACAAAAAGGGAACCCTTCTACTTCGATTAGGAGAATGAATGCACATATCCTAGATTTGTCAAGCAATTTACCCCGCCAGCTGGGAGTGCAGCGCCTAGTTCAGCCACGACCTCCAGAACATGGAGATCTGCGCAGACAGGACCGTCTCTTCAGAGATTGTATCAGGATCAAAACAGAAGCATTTAATGACTCACGCATGATGTTTGGATTTCTAAGCCTTTGGAGATGTTTGAAATGTCAGAAAACATGATTTACTGTTGTGCATGTCGTGTTCAAACGCACTACTACGCTTCTACTCACTCGGTACCATGTGATGATTGTCTGCAGGCTGTGTGGGCGTCCCTTCTGCTACTACTGCTGCAGCAACACAGTGAGCACCCGGCAGGGTGGCAGCAGAGAGAGCTGCTGCCAGGACTGTTACAGCCAGCACAGTGCAGTGGTTGAGCGCCACCCGCAGGTGGAGGTGACACACAGCACTCCGGGGTCACCCTTCAGCCGCTTGCTGCAGACCACTCGTTCTCTGGCTGGGGTTGCAGGTGGAAAACCAACTCACACGTCCACCATCGTGTTACAGATGCTGTAAAACAATCAGGCGCATTCAGAAAACATGACTGCTGTTTTTCAGGAGGAGATGAGGGAGAAAAGCTGGATGATGGTGTGTTTGACATCATCACAGAGGAGGAAGTGAGCGGTGTGAACGACACAGACTCTTTCACCACCGCCTGCTCTCCGGGACTCGGCCAGCAGGGGGCAGCAGAGCTGTAACTATCTCACTAACAGCATATCTAGAAATGTTTGCAGCAGAGGGACGATCAGGAGGAGCATCAAGTTGGTTTGGAGAGCTGACATTGTTGCATTTTGTTGCAACCCAGACTAAAGAGCTGATTGTGTTCAGTGATGAGAATCAGAACCAGATCCTGACCACTAAACAGCAGCAGAAAGTTATCTGAGCTTGTTTAGCTCTCTTGTAGATGGTCAGGTGTCCAGAGATGCTTTATGGGAAGTCAGCTACCCTGCAGAGGAAGTGAAATCCTTTCCACAGTGACCCACGTCTTTAAGAAAGTAGTCAATAATAAACTTTTTCAGCAGGATGATTATTTCAGCCACTTTTTCATCATTCAGGACTTAAACTATGCTTTTATTTATTCTTTTACTTGAAAATAGTTTTTTTTTTGTGCTAAATGTGCACGGATAAAACACAGAATAACAATATTTCTAATTTATTTAAATAAAAAAGTTTTAGGGGCTCGTCAAAGCCATAACGAGCCCTGATTGCATCATGGATCCTGACTCTTACACGTTTTCTCTTTACAATAAAAGCTAAAGTTAAACATGCCTTTCTGATCGGAAACAGCTGTGCCAGTGCTGCGGATGTCCCATCAGAAGATGCTGAGGACCTCAGCGCGGCTGTACAGGATGCGGAGATCTGCCTGCTGAAGTCCGGAGAACTCACGTGGGTTTTGCGTAAAGTGAAAATTACACTGGAAACACACAAGTGGCACAAATACTCTAAAGGTCGAATTATTGGTTATGAAGAGGAAGTTGTAAGTGAATATTTTGAGATAGGAAGTGAAAGCTGAAAGCGCTTTTGTTTTTCTGAATGTTGCTTCCTGTTTAAGTTAAAGCAGACTTGTTTTGTGATGGGGTGGGGGTGGGGGTGGGGGGTGTCAGGAGCTATGTGCCTCACTGAGAAGCTGCTAAACATGGAGCTAAAGCCCTCGGCGGCAGCTACACTATATTTCAGGAATCTGGACAATATTTTCTGACTAGTGTTGCTGTTTTTGACAATCGACCTTTAGGAGCCATCACCTTAAATAAATCTGTGATCAAACCGTCACAAGGACCAAACTTTGTGTTTGTAGCACCAGCACTACAATGTTCCCATTGAATAAGAGATTCAAAACCTTTTATTTGGCTTCAGATTCGTTTGAATCTAAAGATTTTACATGAATTTAAACTCAAGTAAAGATCCTAACTAACCACACACTTTGGCGTCTTCTGTGCCGTAGACTCTCTGTCCGTTTCACCGTAGACGACATCTTGGAGTTTGGAGACAGCCCGCGGGAGCTTTTCATCAAGTCCAGTTGTTACAGCATCATCTCCATCACCATGAGCTCTCCTGGTCCCACCGTGTCCTGGACCTTCACCTCGGAACCAAAGAGAATCTCCTTCAGCGTGGTTTACCGGGAGAACGCTGAAGCTCCAGTGGAGCAGGCCAAGGTGAGTTTATCCTCTCAGGGTTTTGTCATTTCAGATCCAACCTGGTAAGAAGTAGATCTGATACAGTTTGAGCATAAATGTGGTGCCGTGTACGCTGTTTATGCATCATGAGCCTCCTTGTTAAAGCAGATGTAAGGAAATAGGGTGGGATGATGGAATGCTGACAAGTGAAGAAGTTTGATAAAACAAATGTGGAGCCAAGGAGACGGAAATTTGACTCTGAGCAGTTTATTGGCTCCAGGGCTGATGTGGTGACTGTTTGCAAACAGTGAAAATGTGAAAAGATCTCGAGTAGCTGCAGGTTTTAACGGTGTTACGTTGCAGAACCGGACCCACGTGTAACCGCAACACATTTGCTGCCTTCTTGCTTTTGCAGGTTTTGATCCCTCTGACTCGCTGTAATTCCCACAAAGAGACGATACAGGGGGAGCTCAAAGTCCGAAATCCTGGAGAATACATCCTCATCTTTGACAACTCTTTCTCCAGGTCGGTTCTGATTAGCAACTTTACCCCTTCATTTGTTTTTTTTCCACTATTTCCCTTTGAGCTGAAACTTAAAACACTTTATGTGTGTTAATTAGGTTCATCTCAAAGAAAGTGCTGTATCACCTGAGTCTGGACAAGCCCGTAGTCTATGATGGAACTGACCTTCTCTGAGCAGGTCCAGCTCTGACCTCAGGGTGGAGATGTCCACGCTGCGGTGGAGGACTCTCCTGCTGCAGAGCTACCTAAATCATGTCATTTAAAAAAAATGTCTCTCTTGGTTATGCTCATGAGGCGTTAAACACAGAGGGGATTTTAATCCGAGGGGAATAAAACCTAAACAATAACAAAAGAATCTGCTGTCGTGCACCGTCTTCCGTACAATAACACTGCCCTTATGTGCCATGGCAAATATTTTGAGGTTAGATCTTTTGTAATTTTGTGTTTTAATGAAACATGAGAGCTGATCCTGATTAATGATAACCCATCACATGATCATATTCTAAAGTAAAAACACGTCAGATGTGGCTCAGCTCACATATTTTACTAATGGTTGCCTTCCAGCTTTGAGCTGAAACACGGGGGGAAGAAACGGAGGCTGCTGCCGGGTTTATTTACAGAATTCTGTTCCTGTTACTGTTTGTTCAGACAGATTATTTTTGTGCAAACACTGCAAGCATGCATTTGCTGTCATATTTAAGAAACGGAGAATATATTGAAGTTTGTAGTTTTCTAACTGTAATTATTGACATTTTTCTTGGGACTTTTATCATTTTTCTGAGCTGTTTAACTATTGGACCCGTGTTAGCTCTGAGAGAGCAACACTGGGGTTTATTTCTTTGTCTTAACTCAAACCTGTTAAACAGTTTAGAGGTGTGATGATATTTTATCTGCTGTGTGTCAAACAGAAGAACCTGAGCCTTTAGATAGAAAACATGGTTTTCATGATGCTGTTCATTTTAGGCCTTTTTCAAAATGTGTGAATGTTGAATTTAGATGTGAAAACCAACTTAAAAAGACTAAATCACTACTGTGGAACAGATGATTTACGAAACGCCTCCTACTCTTTAAAACTGTGTAAAGATAAACTAACAAAATGTTTGTTTTTACACATCTAGATGAGCCTGCTAATGTTTTGCGAAAAGCACACAGAGAAATAGTTTTGTTCTCATGTTAAATGGGACTCTCCGTTTTTAAAACGCTGCACAATGACTGTTGCACTTTCGAAAGGGGCTCTCGATTCGTCTTTAACCCCGTCAGCCTTTGTGTTCCAGTTGGTTTTCTTTAATTTTCTGCGTCGTTTGTCTTTTGTTGGATTCAGAGCTTTTACTCTAACTTCGTAAATAACGGTTCAAACTGTTTAAGGAAGTTATAAACATTTATTAATAGCATAAAGGGTGTTTGATAAATAAAAGTTGTGTGGTAAACATCTCTATTGCTCAGATTTTTTTCTTTATTCCCAGTTTATCTAAATTAGGTTTTCTTGTTTGTTTGTTTTTTGTGTAAAGGGCATTTAAAACAGATTATTGAATAGATTAGCACCAACATTTAAATAGTAAACCTTTTGATTCAACCTCTGTTGGGGAAAAAAGCTCTGGCGCTCCTGTTTCAGGACAGAGATGTTAGCCAGAGCAGAAGATGACACGTTTTTGAGTTTTGCTCTTAATAACTTCTTGATGTTTTGGCATCTCACCTCTGATTGTCTACCAGCAATGCACCACTGACTCCATTTGTTCTGCCATGTTGATGTTTTAGCTCCACAAATAACACAAACCTGGAGGAGTTCTGCTGTGTGGAGGAGTTGCTAATGCTAATGGTTAGCTTCTACTAACCGAGATGTGCTCTGCTTCTTCCTGGATGCTAAATCAACGACAGCCTTCCCCGTCATGAGTCCAGAATGTTAATTTTCAATGTGACGTACACAGCCCAGGTCACCACCTGGATTTAACTAAGTAATTAGGTAGGGGCCTCCAATTGGATAATTACTGCAAGGGTGATCATCTTTCAGCTTTAACCCCAACTGGTGCAATGAGTTGTTCCTAATTTCTTGAACAACCATGTAGAAAGACATCTGGTGGTCGTGGAAAAGATGTTAGTCTGTCTGAGAAGGGTCAGATGCATCAAGCAGAGAAAACATCGAAGGAGATTGCAGAAATGACTAAACTGGATTAAGAGCTGCCCAACGAATTATTAAAAACTGGTCTGACGGGTCCAGATGGACCTTGTTCCAGAGTAATGGTCCATCAGGGTGAGAAGAGAGGCAGATGAAGTGATGCACCCATCATGCCTAGTGCCAAATGTACACGCCTGTGGGGGCAGTGTTATGATCTGGGGTTGCTGCAGTTGGTCAGGTCTAGGTTCAGCAACAGGATGTGCTCCAAGAATGAGGTCAGCTGACTACCTGAATGACCAGGTTATTCCATCTTCCCTGTAATTATGTGTGGCTTTTTCTAACCCAAGCGTTTCCTTGTCTATTTTTATTATTTTTACCGTGTCCTGTCTGGCTGTGATGTAAACAGAATTAATGTCTGAATGTTGGTGACAAGCCTTACAGATTTACTCTCAGGTGGAGCATCAAAGCATCTGCTTTTAATGTCACGCTTGACACGTAAAACTTTATGTTTAAGTTGTTCGAATGCTTTGTAACAGAGATGAAAGAGAAAGGGACAAAAGGTGGGGGGGTCTACAAAAATAAGCAATCAATGATGAACAAGAGTCTGCCTCTAGTCTTCTTTTGTTTGACTACAGATTTAATTTGGTGATATTCTAAAGAGCTTTTCTTATCTATTCCAAATTGGGAGACTATTCCATTAAATGGGATGAAGTCCAGTCCTTCATATATGTGTTCCAGGTATAAGATTCCTTTATTTTTCTAGTCCGGAAGGTTCATCATTTTGTTATTTTGCAAAATATCAGGATTATTCCAGATAGGTGTGTGTCTGCATGGTACTAGTGAAGACTGTCATTTTAAGATACTCCCACCATGCTGTCAGAGAGGTGCTGATACTGATACTTTTGAAGCCTTCATGTTTTCTTATGCTTGAGCTAATAAATGGTAAGTCTGAAAGCTCTATCGTATTGCAAAGTGTCTGTTCTATGTCTAACCAAGACTCATCTAGTGGGTTATCTTGCAACCATCTTGGTATATATTGCAGCCTGTTGGCTAAGAAATAATAATAAAAGTTGAGTAAATCCAGTCCTCCTCTGTCGTTGGTCTTCTGAAGCGTTTTTAAGCTAATTCGTGGAGGTTTATCCTGCCAAAGGAATTTGGTAATTGAGGAGTCCAGAGATTTAAACCAGTCAGCTGGTGGCTTGTTGGGGATCATTGAAAATAAGTAACTTATTCTGGGTAAGACCATCATTTTAATTGTAGCAACTCTCCCCATGAGTGCTATTGGTAAGGATTTCCATCTTGCAAGATCATCTTCCAATTTCTTTAAAAGTGGGATGTAGTTTAGTTTGGTTAGATCTGCTAACTTGGGAGAGACATTAATTCCCAGGTATGTGATATTCCCTGGCTCTAACTGTTTATTAAGCAAATTCACAAAAGAGAAATTAATTGGTAGAACTGTGGATTTTAACCAGTTTATAGAGTAATCTGAAACTTTTGAAATAGAGTTTATCAGTTCTATTGCTTGGGAGAGAGAGGATTGATAATTCTGGATAAAGAATAAAACATCATCTGCATAAAGACTTATCTTATGTTCTAATTTCTTACATTTAATGCCTTTAATACCTGTTGTTTGCCTAATTGTTGCTGCTAGTGGTTTGATAAAGATAGCAAGCAGTGAGGGGGAGAGTGGGCATCCTCCTTGTCCTTTTCTCCTTGTCTATTTTCTAACGGCGGCTAGGAAATAGCGCTACACAAATATTTTTATGTTTAGCCTGCCCAGAAACTGTAACAAGGGTTTCTCAGGGGTGTGTGTGTGTGCGCGCGCGTGCGTGCGTGTGCGTGTGCGTGTGTGTGTGTGTGTGTGTGTGTGTGTGTGTGTGTGTGTGTGTGTGAACACAGTGTTGTTGGAAGATGTCTGTCATGGAGATAGTGTTTGTGCGGAAGAAGCTTCTCAAGGTTAATGATATCATTGTGAATCTTGTCACATCCGCCTCCCTTTACCCGCTCGCCTCTTTTCTTCTCAATTCCTCTCCTCCTGGCTGCTGCTTCGTTGCTATGCATGTGCATGAACATGCTGGAGAATAGAAGTGTGTGTGTGTGAGAGAGAGAGAGCTGAATGGTGATGTTGGCAAGTATATGCTTACATAAATGTAATCACATCACAGATGGTGACATGCACACCTGTAAGTATTCAGATGGAAACTGGATCCATGCATCGGAGCTATCCAAAGAGAAGTGTCAAAATTAAAATAGAATTTTCAGGAAAAACCCAAACTCTAAATAATGTTCTGGAATAAAGTCAAAATGTAGAAATTCTGCTTTTCCAAAAATAAACCAAGAAACAAAGTGCTGCATTTGTTCCCATTATCTGTCTGTAAGTTAACTATTTGACATTTTACGCTTTATTTTAGTAACATTTTTGTTTTTCTAACAGCAACTTTATCCCTTTGACTTCTGTTTCACTTAATGAACATATTTAAGGTTTTTTAATAGAATTAAGATATTTTTTTAAATAAGAGGGGAGGACATACTCTCTTACTGATTTAATCCAGAGCACAGTTGTGTCTGTGACCCGGAGCAGAGAAGGCAGAAACAAGATTTGGATGAAAATGTTATTTATGAATTGTTTTGAATCGTGTTTGTTTCACTTTAATATAGTGTGATAAATTGTGAAAGGGATGAATTGTTAATCTGATGTCTCAGTATGAAACTGACCCGGTGCCATTTTATTTTAATACAATTTTTATTATACTAATAAAAACCTGTGAGCACATTTTGGAAAATGTCTTGCAGGATTGTAAATAAAAATGGTTTATTTTTATTTTTTTTATCTTACTTCATGCATATTTGTTACCACAGCAGGATAGTTTTAAATCTGCTGTTTCCAGCACTGAAACTCTGCACACACATCTGCACATGTACTGGGAACACATCAGCTGGTGGTGCTGGAAGGCCCTCTCTCTAAGAACATCTGTGATTGGTCAGTCTCTCATCTTGAGCCATATTTTCTAGATCTCCAACGACTTTGTAAAGCTCTAAAGCAACCTGTTAAAACGATGAGCCTCGACGATTTAGAAATGTGGAATAAGCTGATTTAGGACAACAAACTCAGCCAAGTTTACATTAAATACATTTATTTGCTCAATAGAATCATTTGTTATACTTTATTCTTTATTGAAGGACAGAAAATGTAAGAATTTTCAAATCTCGGTGAAGTCTCAGACAACCCGCTGTCCTCACTCCTGCTTCAAGGGCTCTCCTCCTCTATTGGCGCCATCCCCTCAGACACCTTAACATGATCTTCTCCTGCCTGACACGACATTATCATAACTGAATAAAGATGGACCTGAGTGAGCTAGCCTCCCTGTGTGAGGGTACAGCACTGGTATCAACCTGCAGTCCACGCAGAGTCTGTGTGCAGAAGAGAGTACCTAAACACTCCGTCTGTGTGTAAGTGTGTGAGTCCATCTGTTCACTAGTTTTGTGTGTGTGTCTTTGTTTCCTCTCTCCTCAGACTTTAAGCCCCCACATTGTGGTAATAGCCGGTCGAGTTGGTTTCTCTCAGACACTCCGCTCATGTCAAACATCGTCCCAACCCAAACGGTTTCAGCTCTTTCTGCACTAAAACCTTCCATCACACGCTGGCGACCTGTCAGGCACACAGCTTCAGATACGGTTTCTGCAGGACTCCTCTTCGTTCAGCTTCCTGTTGCAACGCTCCTGCTGGTTCCTGATTGCAACAAGCAGAGGAAGCAGGGAGAGTTTACTTTCATTTCTCGGGAAATTAAATGTTGTTCTCTATAAATTTGTTTTGTATCGTGAAGAAGAAAAAAACATACGTCATGGACTGGAATAAATGGTAAAATGAATACAAACTGTAAAGTTTTCTATTTTAAGTATGTAGTCACAGTGCAGTGTGGTATGTACCACGGACTACCGACTACAAAACGATGAGGAGAGAGTTGCCTCAGGAGATTAGAAAGGCAATTCTTTAGCAGCATTCTTTAAAACCTGAAACATTTTGTCTAAAGGTGTCAGCTCTTTGTTCACAGACGCAACAACGAATCATAACAACACCGAGCTTACTGTGGAACATGGACGCAGCTTGGTGTTCTGCATCTGGCACACAGTGTCATGGATCTGTGCAATCTGACGACTGTAACCACTATAAGGGCTAAAAATGTGTCGTTGGGTCTCTGACAGGAACCTGACCCCAAAGAATAAGCTCAAACCAGAATGCTTCAGAACAAAACATCAGAGTATGCAAAAAGTTGGAATGGGGCCAAATATCTGTCCATAGGTGGAAGAAATCTCACTGAGGATAACAGAACATGCTTGTATTTATTTAGTTGGCAAAAAATTTGTAAATCCAAAAAACCAATACATGTCAACTGAGTTTTGCGCTGCTCGTCCACCCATTTTCAGCCAATTGTCCAGAGTTGGGTCACGTGGGCAGCGGCCTAAGCAGAGACACCCAGACTTCCCTCCCCACAGCCACTTGGGCCAGCTCCTCCGAGGGAATCCCGAGGCGTTTACTGACCAGACAAGAAATATAGTCCCTCCAG